AAGCCTTCCCCGAGCGACACCACCTTGCTGTTTGCAGAGCGCAATGCATGGCGCAAGATATCCACGAGATGGTGCTCTCCGATGCCCTCAAGAATATCAGGGGCGACTTCCTCTTCTGGCAACGGGAGGTCTATGAGCACCTGAACAGGGCGCCGGAGAAGGGGAAGAGCAAGGGCAAGGCACCCAAGGTGTGGCAGACTCAGTGGGAGAAGCCCAAGAAGGGGGGGAAAGGCTCCTGGCCCTCGGGGCCGACCCGGTCCAAACCGAAGGGCAAGGGCGGCAAGGGGAAGTCCCCCAACACCCCCTCGGTTCCATGGCCGGACCACTGGGCTTTCAAGAATCCCAAAGGGGTGGCGTACTGCAGAGATCATCACCTCCACAACAAGTGTTCGGGATCTTGCGGCCGATCCCACAACTGCCCGGTCTCAGTTGGGACCACAGGTTATTAGTGCGAGAGTGCACACAGAGGGGGTGAGCCAACCCCACCAGAGCCACAGCGGAAGGCAGACAGAGCGGGGGAGGCCAGGACGGCCTCAGATGGGAGGGGACTTCTCCAGGGTGCCACCGGCCCCAGAAGCCCCTCCACCGAGGAAGAGGAGCGGTCCCAGCCAGGGCACTCCAGAAGGGCGGAAGCATCCCTTTCCCCCGCACCCACCGAGGCAGTGGGAAGACCCCCCAGAGAGACCCAGAGGTGAGGATCCGCCCGGCAAGGGGCGTTCCAAGGGCGGGAAGCTCAGATGCTGTACGCTGGGTACATTTGGGCGGTGGACATCAGGCGGAAGGGTGGAGACCTTGGACAGGACATGCTGGGCGAGGAGCCGTACTCTACGATGTGCTCCATGGCCATGGCGGGCAAGGTCGCCTTGGTGGGGGGCGGCCCCAACTGCAGGACGTGGAGCATCCTCAGATGGTTCCCCAAACCGGGGGGCCCGCCGCCGGTGAGGGGCAGAGCAGAGCAGACCCTGTGGGGCTTAGAGACCTGGAGCCCCGGGTTATGGAGGACACGGACAATGACAGCGTGCTCATGCTCCGTCAGATGTACCTGACCTCGCTGGCCTACAAGGGGCTAGGTCAGCTAACGGTCCCGCAGGTGGGCTCCTCCTTCTTGGAGCACCCGATGGACCCAATGGAGTGCAGCAAGAGCCCGAGCGCAGCGAGGTGCTCATCGATCTGGGTCACGCGGGCCTACATTCAATGGGCGAGCGCACTCCACCACTCCCTCATCAAGTTTGACGAGTGCCGCCTGGGCCAGGTGGTTGTGAAGTCCACGACATTGTCAACGGACCTTCCCCTTCACCATTGGCATGATCTGCGTTGCAACCACGGGGCTCAATTGAGGGGGGAAAAGCTCAACTCCAGTGACCTCAGCCGGTACCCGGAGCAGATGATGCAGGGTCTCGCAGCGGCCATCCTTTGCCGAGCGGGACCCGTCCTGGAGGCGCTGAGGCCGGGGGGGACGGCGCCCCAGGCGAACCCAACGACCCCCCCGAGGCGGCAGAGGGAACCTTCTCCCAGCACGCCGGGGGACAACAAGCGCCAGTCCCGGAGGCTGAAGGCTGGCCAACAAGCGTTGGCAGCACTAACCTTGAATTCACTTCCGGTCTCGACCTCGGACAATCCGAATTTCCGGACACCGACGCAGAGGACTGGCGAGACGGACGAACTGGGGGGGGGAACTCTTTCCCCTGAGCCATGGGCACACCATGGCATGGAGATCTCGGATCGGCCCACCATCCTGCCGATCACGCACGACCCCAATCTCTCCGACAAGGTCATGTACCTCCAGATGGCCTTCAAACAGCGCCCCCTAAGGGACGGAGGAGGAAAGCCCTCATTGGGACGGTTGGCCCCATGGACCCGGCCACTGTCCAAAGCAGCAGCGGGCCAAGATCTGTGTCCTCACTTTGGCATTGGGGGGGCAAGCTCCAGGAGTCGCTCTCGTTGGGGGATGGGTCACATCCCTTCCCGGAGGACCTGCTGGAGGATATGAGAGAGATTCTGGCGCCGGGGGCAGGCCGACCAGCTGACGGCCAACCCTTCTTCCTGGACATCTTGCACAGCGTGGCGCTGAACATTCAGGACCCCGACCACCAGGTCCCACTGGGGGTCACGGACCCACCCCTGACCTCGCCGGGCATCTGGCCACTCAAGAAGGAGCTGAAAGGGGAGGAGCCGGAGTTCCAGGAACTCCCTCACCCAACGGGCAGGGGTAACTACCCCTCGGCGGATCACTTCAGCGAGCTCATCCGGGGCACATTTCTGGAGGAGGTCCCCATGGGCATGGTGGAGGGCCCCTTCAGTAAGGTGGAGGCAGCATCGCGCTGTGGCTGCGAAATCGAGGACCTTTGTCCCGGCCCCCTAGCGGGCATCGACGAGGGGGACAAGATCCGCACGATCTACGATGGCTCGGTGGGAGGGGCCAATGACACCATCAGGAACCAGACGGTGGAAAGGACGACGGCTCCGACGGTGCTGGATGGGGTCCAAGCTCTTCATTGGCTACATGCGGCAGCTGCGGAGGGACCCCCCTCTCAGGGTGCCCCTGGCCCCGAGAGGGGGGTCGTCAAACCTCCACCTGGGGGCTGGCTATGGCCGGAGCCGGGCACCAGGTGGGTGCTGCTCAAGGCGGACGTCACCAAGGCCCACCGGAGAGTGAAGGTCCTCAGGAAGGACTGGCGGTTCCAGGTGGCCTCACTGGGGGAAGAATGGTGGGTGAACAAGGTAGGCACATATGGCATGGCCAGTGCCCAATCCTACTGGGGACGCCTGGCAGCCCTTCTACTCAGGGTCCTCTACGCACTTTTCCCTCAAGTGGATTGGAACTTCGTCTTTGTCGATGACTTCCTGTGGCTGCTTCGAAGCGAGGGGGCAGTAAACTTGGCGGTGGCGCTGCTGGCAACACTCCTGGCCTTGGGCACCCCGCTTAGCTGGAAGAAGACGCATTTGGCGGAGGTTAACACGTGGCTGGGTTTCGTGGTCCACCCGAACATCCCGCAGGTTCTCATGGCAGCCAACAAACACATCCTGGTTATGGAGGTTTTGCAGACCATGGTGGAAGGGCAGGCGATGCACTCAAAGGACATCGAGAAGGCCCTGGGTCGCATCCAATGGGCGACGGCTGCATGTCCGCTGGCGAAGTCGATGCTCCAGCCACTTTGGGCCTGGAAGATGGCCACCACCACGGTGGGGAAACCCCCCAAGGTGGTCAGGATGCTGGCGTTCATGCTGCGGTTCCTCTTCAACACGCCTTTCGTCCAGTACTCCCCTTACTTGCCGAAGTCCTCTTGGTGGGGTTGCAGCGATGCTAGCGCCTCGGACGAAGGACTGGCATTTGTGGGAGGTTGGTGCTCCAACAAAGTGGAGCCGGAAAAGAAGCGGGCTCTGCCAGGAAGCGGGCTCTGCCAGGAAGGAGAGTCAGCTTTGGAGTTGTGTGTGTTGTCTACTTTCTTTTTTTGGGGGCGAGGGGCGAGTCAGCTTCCGGGGGGGCGAAGGGGGATGGGGACGAGTCAGCTTTGGAGTTGGGTGTTGTTGTTGTCTACTTTCTTTTTTTGGGGGCGAGGGGCGAGTCAGCTTCCGGGTTGGGTGAGTTGTCTTCTGCGGGGAATGGAGGCGAGTCAGCTTCCGGGGGGGCGAAGGGGGGGATGGGGGCGAGTCAGCTTTGGAGTTGGAGGTGTACTGGTTCCACGAGCAGATCCACGTGGAGGAGTACCCTTGGGCTTTCAAGAATGGGGATCCCAAGCGGAGGATTGCGGCTCTGGAGATGCTGGGCACGCTCTTCCTCTGTAACATGATCCTCACGCACCAAGGCCCTCTGTCCTCCCGGGTCCGACTCCCGGTGGGCAGTGACAATCAGGGCAACGTCATGGCGATGCTCAACCTTGGATCCAAGAAGCCCTACACGGCGGCGATCCTGATGGAGCTGGTCTTCCTGCTCCACACCCATGGCTGCTCGCTGGCGGCCAACCACGTGCCCCGTGAATTCAATCAATGGGCTGATGAGCTGACGCACCCAGATTTCTCTGGGTTCGACCCTTTGCAAAGGGTCCCCAAGCAGGAACTCTGCGAGGAGTTCGTTTTTCTCCCGCGTCTCCTGAATGGAGATGCATTTGATCTTAGCGTGGGCCCACCCATGCTCCCGTGACCGGAGCCGGTGGGCGACTCACTTCCCCTGGTGGCAGACCCCCCTGTGGCCTGGGTGCCACGGGCCCCGGCTCAGGGGCGGGCGCTATCAGTCTGCACACCCGTTCTTCAGTTTTTGAGATTGTGAGTTGGGTGGCCCATGGGGCCCACCCAGCCTTTGTCATCTGACAGGGGAAGATGAGTCCCTGGCACCAACACACTGCTCGGATAAAAGAGTTATCGCGTGCTTGTGTGTGGTGCCGTTTGGTTAGCTTGCATACACTACATGTCATTTCATGATGCTATATTGTTGCTTGGGTTTTGTTGGTTCTCCTCATGATACATGCGGGGCGGCGAGAAGCATAGTCTGTTTGCGCCAATGTAGCACTGTCTTGGCAGCTTATTTGTCTCGAAGTGCTGAGCCGCCGAGCCTTTTCCGTCACTGTCCTCGTTTCGTGCCAAGTGTATTGCCGAGACCCGTGGTGCTTTAGTTTGCAGGATGAATCAACAACTTCCGTTTTGGCGTGCATGCTTTTTGAGGGTGATTCATGATGAGAATTCCTTTTTGTTTTTGGGGTGGTTGAGCCAATCTAGTTCCGTGTTTGGAAACGTGCTTCCCCTGTTCGTTGAGTCTCCTTAGAAGGTTTCAGAGGCAGGTTTCAAGGAATTCCTAAGTCATGCGGATCAATCTGGGCTTCGGTGTTCCTTTGGCTTTCTTTTTTGCACAAACGAGATGACCAACTCCAAAACAAGGACCGACCCAGACGACCAAACCCATGGCCCCTGCCCACCTGCCACCCCCCCTCAAACTCCCCCCTCCCCTTCCCTCAACCCGAAATGCCCCCCCCCCCCCCCCACCTGCCACCCACCCCCCCCTTCAGACCATGGACGTCCCCGCCGGCTTTGGTGCCGCCGGCGGCGACGCGGTGCGCGTGGAGATCATCAGCGCCGCGGACCTGTCGCTGGGCTCCAAGTCGCTGCCCGTGCCGCGCCTCGGCGGAGGCGAAGCAAACATCCCAAGGACGACGGCACTCGGAGGGCCTCAAAAAGGAGGGGGGCAGGATTGATCCTTTTTGTTCAAAGCGAATTGACCTTTGGGCACTCCAGGGGCATTTGCCCAAAAGGAGTCCTGGCCCAAAAGGCCCGTGCCGCAAGCTTTGGTTTTCCGAGATTGAGCCACTTTTCGTCATGACCCCACAAGGTCAGCCTTTTATTTCTGGGTCCCAAAAGTGTCGATTTTTTAATCTTGTTTCCCTTTTTATTTGGCCCGGAAGGTTTCGCAGGAGCCGGGCGCCGACTGATAGAAATGTCATTCCCCTCTAAGGGGTTTATGCCTCTCGGAAGCGGTTTTCTTGGAGCACAGAAGCTGAACTCGCTGAGATGCCCCCCTTCAGTGCTTCGCAACTTTGAGGACAAGAATGAGGGCTGCTTGCCGGGTTCGATCACTTCCTTACAAAAAGGAGCCGCCCCCCTTGTGTTGCACGGACCGATGAATAAAACAGTTAACACGAAGCAGAACGTTTTTGTGTTGTTTTGTTTTGGTCGGATCCTGAGGTCTTGAACATATTGCAGATTTTGAGATGCAACAAATGTGCACAGACTCTGGACATGGTAAGTTTCATCGGGGCGAAACATCGGGAGAGCTGCCCTTCACGATTCGGTCCCAATCATTCTCATAGGTGTTGATTTTGTTAAACAATAGAAGGCCCAAACCCTACCCGGTTCAATCATCTACCAGGGCCATCTATTTTCCAAAAAGGACACCTATGATCATTCTGGGCACACCAGGTAAATCTTCCTAAAGGACTCCTGGCCCAAAAGGCCCGTGCCGCAAGATTTGGAAGACTCAGTGGTTCAAAGCCCATCGACCGGATCTGACCTTTTGGTTTTCCCTTGTTGGTCCATTTTTCGTCGCGGCTCCAAAAGGTGAACCTTTTTATTTCTGGGCCGTTTGGGCAAGTGAGAAGACACTGGAGATGTTGGACATGACGTGCTTTGACAGCTTCTTGGACTCTGTCAGAGAAATCATGGAGTTGGACTCGTGCTATGCCATAGCTCCGACACGGCGGTGGCTCGTAGGTGTCAAGGTGTCAAGCTGAAGCCTGGCTTCGGCTACTCTGGGTGAAGTTTTTTTTCCCAAAGTTACAGGTGTCTATGCTAACCCGTATGTGGCATGCGGGTCAAAACCAATGGTACCATTTTGGGGTAGGTGCACCACCCATTTTAGTCAATTTCAGTGGGGATTCGGATGTTCACTGGGGAACGGGATTTTGACCCATGGCCATGCCACTCTCCCCGCATCATCCCTTGGCTCACATCATGTTCCGCGTTTTGTTCACCTTGTTTTTCCACAGCCTACCTTTTTTTCTTGATCAACTTTAAATATGTATCTGTGTTTTAAACGCGCCATCCTGGTTCACACCACACGTTTTTTCACGGTGTTCGGTATACACCGATGCTCCGTTTTATTGGGGGGGGGGACGGTGGACTGGAGAGCTCGAGTGAGGCCGCGAGAAAGGTGAGCCCGTGGCCTGAAGCCCACGGGGGGGGGGTGGTGGTGGCAGCTGTTTGAGGGGTGGTCCAGTGGTGGCCCTCATGTCGGCTCGGGCTTTGCTCGGTGCGGCGCAAGGTCGCCCAAAAAAAAAGGATGGAAAATCACCGAGGGTGGATGAAGCTGAAGGTGAGTCTTGAACCCAAAGGGAGAGAAGATCATCCCTGACCACACCTGACGAGGTGAAAATTGGCATTTACAAAGTGAGATAAGATCACCCCGGTACTTCACATCGGCTGAGCCCGAGGTACTGTTCCTTGGCCGTGGGCTATGCGGGGCAGCCCTGGGCCGCCAAGTTCTCCTCGGCGAACCGGGAGTGCAACACCCCCCCCGCACTGCGGCAGCGCCACCCCCGGTGGAGCGCCCGGCGCCCTCGGCGGCAGTCAGATGACTTTTTTGGTACCCACCTTTTGAAGCGGATGCGTTGGACAGGGAAGGAACCAAATGTGTGGAGACAGAAACTACATGGTCAACTTGGCTTGTTGAAGCGTTGTAAGTAAATGCGTGCCCTTCGCTCCTTTTGCCTTCCAATTTTTCGAAGTGGGAACTCGCCCAGCCCCAAACTGCCAATCCAGACCACAATCGCTTGGCCACAGGTGTGCCACGTTAGTTGGCGAGCGCCACCAAGGAATGGACAGGTGAGCCTAGGCAAAAGGGAATCCGCTTGCCACCTCTCACCGCCCGGGATTCGTCCAAGGTGCCAGCTTGGGCTGCCGCAAGCTTACGCCCCTCGTGCGTGCCAAGCGGGCGCGTGTTTCGGGGCTGTGAAGAGTGGGCCAAAGAAAGCTGTTGTATAGAATAATTCATTTTTGTTTCATGTTTTTTCCATTTTTTGCTTAAATCACTTTATTAACATGAGAGCACTTTTTCATATTAATTAATTAAACTTTTCTTATCACTCACTTGTGATCCCCGTGCAAAAACAAGCACCGCCGGATGTATCGATGCGTACACGTGGATCAGACAAATACATGGACCAATGCTGATGTGAGAGTGTGCATGGAAGAAAGGACTCCTTGTGTATCGTCACCCATATGTTGCTAAGCGTTGAGTGTTCTGGGACCGAACATAATTAAGGAGTTCCGATACACTTGTGCTATTTCTCCAAGGCTGCAATCCCAGACATGGTAGGGTTGGTTGAAAAGATTTGAGGAAGGCGTTCTCCAGGCTTTCTTTGAAAATGATGGTACCAATTTGAGTTGTTGGCCATGGACTGGCTTATTATCCCGCACTCAGGATTGGGGCTTGCATCTCTGGTTGGCCAGGTTTGTTGTTTCATACTACGCTAGGGTGGAATTGGCATCCATGTACATTTAAGCAGTAAGCATACATGCGCTTCGGCACAGGGCCCTCGTCCAATCATGTACCCAGGATTTGTTTCTTCGACAAGGGAGGGTATGAGAAAAGCCACACGCACACACATATGCAGCAAGAAAGCTGCCACCAAGCGGACTCGATGCACAGTTGGTTAGATGGGGGTCCTTTCTATATTGCCCACCAAGAATACGCATTTCGTCATTCTTTTTCTAACCGGCTTGCTGTGCTTGAAGGGACTCTACCCAACTCTCACTATGTCGTGGACAACGAGTGGCTTCAATATTTTCTTAGCCAGGCGGCAATCCTGTTGTTGCCAGTCGCTCCCATGTGAGCTCGGCCAGGACTTCCAGTCGGCCAGGGAAAATGTCGGGGACGTTTCCCTCAACAATGGGACGGAACCCAATTCTCTCAAGTCCATGACGCAAATTGCGTGTGGGAGCGTCTCCAAATAGGGGAAGGATCGGTTTTATGTTTCCTTGCTGTGGGTATACCCTCCTGTGGTTTCCGGGGTCTAGAATTGGCATCCTCAAGAATACCTGTCTAAAGCTTGGGCACAGGTCCCCCTGACCCCCTCGGGCTTATCCGGACGTGGGTCAGCCCTCTCCGGTCATTTCCTTTCTTGTCTATAGGACTGCAACAGGAAAGTAAAAGGAAGTTGCATTTTACATTTTCCGCGGCTGGATGGGTCCATGTTTGTGTTCGTCGGGGGGTGGAGGCAAGCCTTGAAGGGGAGTACCCTTTACAAGGATGCTTAGCCTTGTTTTTGTAAAACAACTTGTAATGATCAATAAATTTGCTGTTGCCGGCCAGCCTTGTCTTATTTCTGGGTTTGCAACCCTTGAGACTACGAAAGAAGTTAGCATTGGCAAACGTATTGGCAATAGCTTTGGCAATTTGAAATGTTGCTCTCCTTTTGTTTGCGGCTTTTTTGAGCCGGAAAGGGACGTCTTTGAGGGGTCTCTTGGCTGATCTGAAAGTATTATTGTCTGGCAGTCGGCTAGAAAATATGGCCACCACATGTGGACTCCCAGCCTCATCTTTTCTTTCACCTCGCAATCCCCCAAATCCCCCCCATCCACCCCCCCAACACCCCCCTCTCCCGCCCCTTCCATCCACCCCGCCCCCCGCCCGTGAGAACACCTCCCCTCCCGCCCGCCCCCCCCGGCCACATCCCCCGCATCCCCGGATCCCCGGATTGCCCGCTGGACCGCACCGCGCATCCGTTGGACCAGGTCTCCCCGAGCCGCGTGGACTTCTCCAAGGAGGAGCCCTCGGAGCCCCTCCCCGAGCTGTCGGTGCGGGTCATGGACGCCGGCGGGCTGCGGGGGGACCGCGTGGCCGGGGAGGCCCGAAGCGGTGGGGGGGGGGGGGGCCAGCCCGGAACTCCTGGGGGGAAGAGTAATCTGTGTTTTTTATGCTTTGTTTCTGCAAGTTTTTTTTTCCCCCCCCCTCCTGTTTTTTTTCTTCTGCCAGATGCATGGAATTTCAAATTGCCCGCCGACCATTTCTCGGGTGCTGTCATGGCCAGTGATTGTCTATAAGAAAACAACCGCCCAAACGGCTGCCGTGGTTGTTTCCGGGTCACACGCTGGGGCGTCAGGAGCCCCACGGCCCAGCAAGGCGACATCGCAAAGCGTTGTGCCCGTGTTTGAGGTCGTTTGTTTGTGGCGTTGTACTTAAGTGCTTCATTTCGGCACTGAGTGTTGACCCCGAAAAAAATCCAACCCCTGTTTATTACTATGGGGGTGCTTCCCTTTCCAAATGTGGTGATTCCCCACTAAATGCAGGGACACCCCCTATTAACAAACTGGGGCCTATTAATCCGGGGTCAATATCAATTAACGAGTAATCTTGGCTTAGTTATGGTGGAAGCCAGCCCCAGAAGGAACAACTCAAAATGCTCTTCCCTGGGTTTATGTTTAGGCTCCGCACCCGGGGTCGACGCGTTGTAACATCTCGCATCTTTGCCTTTGACCCAAATCATGATGGTAGAAGCTCAACCCCTAGTAGTTGGCGAGTCTGACGTTTGCTTCCTCGTACTTCATACCGTCATGAGCAGGAGCTACTACTGCGTGTAGCACATTTCCCTCTCCACCAGACCAAAAGGACACCTCCATGTCGAGGAGACATTAACACAGTATAAGTATATAATGCTATCGCCAGCCTTAGATTTGTATTTTGTGGTTGGACGTTACACAGGAGTGAGCCTTTGATTGGTTTCCCATATTTAAGGCGCACTCAGAGTGATTCATTCACAATTCGATTTGAAGGGTTCACACCACTAAGTGAGTCATACCAGGGCTTCGTACCCAAACGTGGCTCATATCATTGGTTCATACTGTGGATGGACGAACTCCTGTACCACTTGGCAACCACGGTTGAAGATACAAAACGTTTGAAACACCATTTACGTCGGGGAGTCGACTCAGAAAAACCGACCGACCGGGTTTCGGACCGAGTGGCGCGAGGCACGGGTGCCGCTCAGCGCCAGCGGCTGCGGCACTTTTCGGCTCCTGGGCGGGGGCTACGCCTCGCTCTCGCTGCGCTGGGCCGTGGGAGGCGCCTGGGCGCGTGGGAGTGGACGCCGGCGGGAGGTTTTAGAGAGCTAAACATGCGCCAAAAGTAAAAGCAATCGAGAGAGGGTTTTTGGTTGGCCAGTTTGCTGTGGAATGGAAGTTCTCCGGTTTCTGAGAGAAGTGGGTACGTCATTCTACGTCCACATCCGCCATGGAGGCCGCCCCGCCGCTTTGCGGCGCCCGGACTTCGAGCGGGCGGTGGGCTTCTGGTCACAGCAGGCCTTCTGGACGAGAGATGTGGCTGTGGTTGTCAAAACCGTTTTGGATCCCATGTTGGGGTAGGTGCACCCATTTTAGAACCTATTTTAGTGGTTGGAGTTGGATGTTCACTGGGGGTACGATTTGGATGTTGACCCAGTGTTTGGAGGCCTTCAGGGTTGGACTGGGCTCCAGGCGAACTTTGCCAAATTCTTGGGAGTTTCCATATTGTCAGCTCCGTGACCATGTAAGTCAGCCAGATTTCCAGAAACGTATCCCCTAAGGATTTGGGAAACCATGTACTTCTTGTTGAGGGTAGTAATTTTGGGACTGGGAAGCCAGGGAATGTATGTTGGGCAACCACAGAGAGACATCCACCCAAACGAAGAACCTGGACTGAGAATCGCTGAAAAGAAGGAAGATAACCAACAAGGGTTTTCTGGAGTTGCCAGTTTTGGACCTTCGTCTTTGTTCATAGCTTCCCCCTTCAGGTGGGAGAGCCGTTTGATCTACAAATCCGTGCACCCCATTTTCTCGTTAGTCCTAAATGAGGAATACGGATGTGAAGCCCTTAAGCAAGGTGTGAAGCAGGTGGCCCTTCCCGATTGAGAGTTCGTAAGGGAGACCATGTTTGTAACATGAACGGAAACAGGGTCAAACAATTGGCATCCTTGCGCTAAGCTGACTTGGGGGCACTCTGGAGGGCCATCTACCCAGACCTATGGGCCACTCCCTTTGTTCAACTCTGTTTTGGAGGCAGTAAGCCCCATTTAACAGCAACCAACAACAAATTGCTTTTCCCTTTTTTTCCCATGGCAAATCCAGCCCAAAGGCGATTCCCATTGAACCCATTGCAGGTGGTTCTACCTGGTTTTATTGGGGATTGCAGCAACGCCTATGCCCAGAAACTCCTGGGGCCTTCAATGGAAGACCCGACCCCTCCACTAGACACCCCGCTTCGGTGTTTGGGACCCGGTCTCAAAACCCGGCTGCTTGAGGGCCCTAAGTTGATCGGGAGCGTCTGGGTAGAAGAGAAGCAACACCTTTATAGCTGGAGGTGTGGTTCCGCGTGAAGTGGGTCCTGCCTTGCCGTTGATCAGCAGGACCTCAGCAGTCCCACGGGGCTCACCCACGCACAGCTGGAGCTGGCAGCCGTTCTGGCGACGCCTTTTGGCGTTCGGCGCTCGCAGGTCCCGGTTTTGGGTCGCCGGTTTTGGGAGGGAACCCGTTTTTGAGGGTATACCCCATAAATTTTGCAAGGCCAGAGCTGGTATTTTTGCACTAGGGCTTGTTTGTTTACTTAGGCTGGTCCCCTGGTTGGTTGGTTGGTTGGTTGGTTGGTTGGTTGGTTGGTTGGTTGGTTGGTTGGTTGGTTGGTTGGTTGGTTGGTTGGTTGGTTGGTTGGTTGGTTGGTTGGTTGGTTGGTTGGTTGGTTGGTTGGTGGGTCGGGCAGGGGCGGATCGGGGTCGGGGTCGGGGTCGGGGTCGGGGTCGGGATCGGGGTCGGGTTGGGCTGGGTTGGGTTGGTTGGCCGCAGCCCAGCATTGCCGGCTACCTACGGTTGCGAATTGGATCGGATTTGCAGTCTTTTAGAGTTGCTCGGGTTGGTTTAGGGCGGCAAAGTGCTACTGACTTTGAGTGGGACTGGGCTGCAACCAAGCCCCCAACAGGTTTCCACCCCAGCTAATACTCAACCCGCAAGCCTGGTCCAGGTGATGCTGGGGATGTTGCCAGCCTTAAGAAAACGAGAGCTAGTCAACAACCAGACCTGGATAATCAGAAAGGGGCTGTGTCAATGATCGCTTAATTCGATCCTTGCATTGGGCTTTGTGAAGAAAGTATCTCCTGGTTGATATGTTGACAAGTGTCTTTTCTCATAGTATTGGCGACGCACATGAGAGGTATATTGAGAGGCGCCTGCGTTTGGGCGGCTGACCCTCTCCGGTTCTGTTACAGTTTAAATCTCGGTGAGCCTTCGAGCCCAAGACGCACGTGCCCCGTTTGTTCAGCTCGAGATACTCGAGTTCAAGGCTTTGCAGCAGTCTCATAGGACCGCCCATGGGATCCGCTTGTATCAACCTTGGCCCATTTTTAGTCATGACCCAACAAAGCTTTGTGTTGACCTTTTATATATTTCTGGGTCCTTTAGGCAACTGAGATCCACTACCCTCCCACCAACTAACATGGAAGTGCAAAAAGGGCCTTTCCAAGAGGAAAGTCGTCTTTCTACAGGGGTCTGTGCACCAACCCATGTTAGCTGGTGGGAGGGTATATTCGCCCAACTTCTTTGCGCGTTTCTTTTCGAACTGCCGCCATCTTCTTCCATTTGCTTAAGAATATTTCTCTTAAACATAAATAAACATCCTCTGTTGGTTTTAAAGGGAATCTATCACTACTGGACATATTTTTCTCTTTTTTTCCAGGGGGCTTAACCAAATGGAAGTCTTTCGGGTCATCCCATCCGCTGCTCCTCGAAAAAAGAACCGAGGTGTCGGAGCCCGGAGGAGCAGCGGGAGCTGAACGAGCTGATCCTGCAAGCGCCTCTGCCCGGGACCCCGGGACGTCCCACGACCCGGGGCTCACAAGGACCTGAAGTTGCGGCCCAAGAAAGCAGCAGCATAGGTGTCCTTTCTGCTTGTTTCGGTCGAAAAAATGGATGGTCCTGGTTTACCTGGTGGTCCGAGGCCATCTATTTGCCCTAAAAGGACACCTATGAGCAGCAGGTGAAAAGCCTGGCTGGTGCAAATGCGGCAGGGAGTGGGAAATGGAATGAACCGGAATCCCCTTAAAGGAAACGCCATATGGGAGGGGTTTATGGGGGTGATGCCATTTTTGATTCCCTAAGGAGCATCAGCAAGAAACTCTATGGGCACGGTGGATGCGCGAAAGAGGTGTTGCAAGTAAGCCAAGCACGCCCCAACTACAAAAACACACCACGGCATGCTTCCCCACTTCAACAAGAAGCATGACATCTCAGGTACCCTTTTCAGGGGACTCGGTTTTAGGAACGCATGCGGAACGCGGCTTTTTGAAGAGTTGTTACCCCTGTGGCGTTTAGTTCAACATGTCGACCGGGTAGCGGTTGCTAGTGTGAAGAAGAGACCTGCGGCAAATTAACGCTCAAGGTCTACTAAACCTAACGACACTGCCTTCATCTTGCGCACCGACAGGTGCTAACCCCTTCAAACAACGGCTCCCACTTCTGTTCTGTTTTTGCAAACTGCTTTCCTAACAATGTGAAGACGCAACGCATTCCGAAGAAAGCAACTACTTCTGCATGACTATTCTCAAAGTCACCGCCCCAGCGGTGAGTACAAGGGCAACCCCGGTAACTTTTCAGCCGGGGGCTCATTCATGGAAGCCCGAAATAAGGGGCGTTCAATCCAGAAGCCAGCCTGAACCAAGCTACAAACCCCCTCAAGCCCACAATCTAGGTCCCCCAATAGTGCCCTTCTCTCCCCTTTTTTTGGGGGAGGGTTCCCCTCCACAGACTACACTCCTAAATAGACAAGCTGAAAAAAGGTTACCCTTATTATAACCTCTCTACTGGAGGACCCCACCACAATCAATGCGCTTTCCGCCGGGCACTTTGCACCACATGACGGTCCGCGCTCAGCACCGCAGCTCAGGTCCGCGCTCTTCTCGGACCTCACGGATCGGCGAGATCTGGATGAGGTTGAGGCGCAGAGCATAGGCGCGGCCGGGCTGGCCAATCAGACGCCTGGGTTCCTAGAGAAAGTAGGGAAGGGGCCTGAAAGGTTGATGTTTCAATCGCCTGGGTTCCTGGCAACCTGGGGAAAGTAGGGAATGGGCCTGAAGGGTTGATTTTTTCCTTTTTTTTAAGCAGGCAACAAGAGAATCCTTGTTGTTTTGTTTGCTCTCTTTGGTGTGATTGGCAATCTGATATTCGAGAAAGCACTTACAGCTGTTTGAGACTTAGTCGGGACGGCTGGTGGGGCTCATTCCGTGATTCTCGGCTCAACGGCAAACCGATTAAGATGGGCATCAGCCAAGTTCCTAAAGGGAGGCCCTCCAATCATGCTGGAGATCATATTTGGCTTGCGGATGAGACCGAGGGAGGAATCATCTTCACCAATCCATCTTCACTAAAGACGCTGTGCAACGTAGTTACCGACGGGAGAATGATGGTCCGTGTTGTCCGTTGCTCAGATTTGTGCAGCTTCTGCATTTGTGCCCACTTAAAATAAGGGGGTGTTGGACCATGACCACCCACTCAACTCTTGGTTGCATATGGCCATGGCCCCTTTTGAAGTCCTGGGCCGCCCCATGCGGAAGGGAAATTACCAGGTGCCCCTAAAATACGTGCCCGAAATATGCCCCCTTCATGTTCCTTGTGCCAAATAGTTGCCATCCGATGGATGCACCATGTTCCCTAGGTTGGTTCCCCTATATGCCTAGAGAGGCTCGTTGCAGTTTTATTGGGCTCGCAAGGATAGACTGTGGGTCCGGAAAACAAACATCCAGCAGGAGCGGACACCACATCTTTCTCTTTTCCAAATCCCGATTTGCCAGGGCCGCCAGGTTTATCAACCCCATCTTTCTTGTCCAAATCCCGATTTGCAGGGCCAGGTTTTTCAGGGTACAGCGACCAATTGAGAGAGAGCCTCGACCAATTAGGCAGGATACCCCATCTTTCTCGACCAATGAGGTTTTGCAGGGTGGCGATTTTTCCCTGCGACCAGTTGAGAGAGACTCGCTCGAGTCGGACGTAGGCAGCCAGTCCCTGATGACGGTCCTCTCCGAGCACCTGGCCTTGCACAGGTTTACTCCCTTGGCAAGCAGCCGACTGGTAGGCAGGGTGCAAGAGAGAAGCCAAAACCAGGCTTTTTCGCTTTTCAGGGTTTATTGTTGACCCCATATTAATCAACCCCAGTGTATGAATAGGGGGGTGTCCCCCTCCCAAAGTAGTGATTGCCCAATAAACCCAGGGACATCCCCTATTAATAAACCGGGGTTGATTAATATGGGCTCAACATTAGTGGGGGTTGCCAGTTGACCCGCTAAAAGTTTTCAAAACCGCGTGGCTATGATTTTTTAATAGGGAACCCCCTCCAAAGTCCAAAGTGGTTGAAAGGGATCCCTACCGAAATAGTGTCCACCAAAGGGTCCCTATTTAAAAGTCAGACCCGTGGCAGGGAGGAGCTGTGGATATTTTGAGTCGGTTTTGATGCAACCCGGTCCCCTGCTTTGCCGGGTGAACGTGATGCCTGCAAGCCTGAGCCTCAGTGCATTTGTCGGAGAGGCCAAGCCGTTTGATTGCTTCACGGAGCCACCAGAAGTCCGTTTTCCCCATGTTTGTAGTCACCACAGATCGTGAAGGGCCAGATGTTTGGTATGCTCCACTCGCTTCAACCGGTGTTTGGTTGCTGCAATGTTGTCTTACACTTTGCGGGGAAGATGGTAACCAGCAGGTTTCTGTTGCGCCCTCTTCGCTGAAGTGAGTCCAGCAAAAAAATCGGACGTTGCAGGCGCGTTGGTGGAGAAGATCACCAACTTTCGCAGCTCGACGTGGGATGCGTGTTGTTCCGCGCATGTGTCCCTGACGAGACATTCTGCGCCGGGAGAAGCAGGCTGTGTGGTAGACAGAGACCACGACTTTGGATCGTGCGTCAATGTTTATTCCAGACTGTATGCGTCACCACCCAGCCAAAGCATGGGCTTGCATTTGGCGCATTTGGCGCCTTTGCGTAAACTCAAATAATAAGCAACTGGCTGCAGCCCCAAGATCCATCTATCATCAGTTCCGCGGCTCGTGCACAGAGGAGGACAGGCTTGGAGTGGAGGTTCAACTGCACTAAATGTGGGGCATGCCCGGTTCCGGCGGGACTCTGAGGCACGTCCTCCGACGAGACGCTGAGCCAGAGTGTCGCAGCACTGGCGCTGGCAGATGGCTGCGAGGAGTTGAGAGATGAGTTGAGAGACGAGTTGAGAGCGGGCAGTGTGACGTTGCATTGCCTTGTTTTTTGGGTGGGGGCAGGGGGGTAAGTGTGGATTGAAAGCAATCAACTAAATACCCAAACCACGTGTCCTGCTTTCTTCCATGGCCACTCGTCAAGCAAGGGTGACCCGACCTGCTTGTTCTTGGCATGGAATGAAGGACGGCCCCCACCAATTTTCCCTATTTATGCCACATTACATTGGTTTCTCAAGCAGCTTGCAGCATTCCCGTGTCCCTACTAAGAACCAGGACCTCTTAGAGCGATTCCAGCATGTGGGTTCCGTTCGCTTACGTCACATGACGATAGTGTCGTATCAACCAAGATCCCATTTGTTCGGGCCTTTTTGAGGTGGGCTTGTAAAGGACATGGGGGCTTCTAATTTCAACACAGGAACCTATGGGGAGAGGGCCATGTTTGGAAGCCTGACAGAGTTGAAGGCAACATCCTGGGTCTCCGAACGAATCAGGTTGTACCCCACTCAACAAGAGGTGACTTTCGGCTTGAAGATCCGTACGCCGAAAGGGGACGCCCCCAAAACCGAAAGTCTTTCGATTTTAAGGAAAGATCGAGCCGTTGAACTTGGCGAGGACAACGAAAAAAAGAAAGAAGAAAAACAAAAGAGAGAAAAACAACTGGGGTTTACGACCAGTTTGCCTCAGCTGGTCTTGGTGTACTTACACCTTTTGTTGCCAAACTCGTGGAAAATCAAGGTAGCAACCAGGCCCAACATGTCAGACCACAGCCATGTGAGTCAAGAGCAGTTGGTGTGATGGATGTCCTAGTTAGACCCTGTGTGAGGCCTAGGCACAAAATTGTTTCATGTTGGCGGCCAAGAACTGGAATCAGTCGTAGCTTCACAGGAAACAGATTCCTCAAGGCAAATTGGGAGGGGGGTGACGGGGGTGCTGGCCGTAAGAAAGCAGAAACACTCAAAGAGATTACAGCTAAGAAGAAAATACACATATTCATGAGAAGCCCGCTTGGAAGCGGATGGTCGGTCACAAAATGAAACTGCAGCACTGAACAATCCAAGAAGCACATCTGGGAAACGTCGACCTCTCAATCACCAGTCAACTCATTTTTTCTGAAACAAAAGCACGGAAGGAAAGTCCCTGTGACTCGGCTTTGGCGCACCGACTGGCCAGGACCTCCTTTGCAAGCTCTTCTTGCGGGCGTCTGGAGAGGACCGGGGATGTCCTTGTAAGCAAAAGCCCAGTTGCTCAGTGGCATTTTTCTTTTTTTAGGGCGGCTTGCCCTCTCAAAACGGTCAACACAGAAGAGGCATCCCTTTCTGTACCAGGGTCACTGGGCAACTGGGATAGAACTCGGACGTGCTCCGCAGCACCGCAATCAAAGAGGAATCCCCCTATAAAATGAATGGCTTGCCTACTTGAAGAAGGGAACCGCCCATGATTGGTACAACCTTCCAGACTAATCCGAAGTTGACATGAATGGGACTCCCCGTGAGTTCCATTGAAACGACTTGGATTTCACTGGTGTCAATTTGGTTCTAATCATTTGGCTGTGGGTCAAACATATGTACCCAAAATGAAGCCCTGGTAAATGGAAGCATGGACTAAAACCTGCGGTCCCCTGGTGTTTTAATTTTGACCCACAGCCATTCCTAGTTGAATCTATCTCTTTGCCAAAAGGACAGCTAGAATACCATGTGAGGAAGCGTTGATTGACCGAGGTCACACTTGAGTTCCTACCCACAAATACGCCAGCACCTCCTAAAATGTCTCCTCACCCATGAGTTTGTGTTGGAGGGAGCTCCCCTGGCGCTTTGCGTGGGGTTTCCCCGAGTGCAAATTGCATAATGGTGACTAAGTGTAGTTTGATGATCCGCCCCCCCAAATAACATAATGTCGGCCCCATGTATTTCAAGGATTTGAACCCTGGTACTTGTGGTTAACAAGGGTTGCTTTTCCTTTGGTTTCCCTCCAAACATGAACCCGAAAACGGGCACCCCCAAAAAAGACGCAGTGCGTGCTTGTTTGTTTTTTTTTTTTGTTTTTTTAAGGTAGTGGTGTTCCTTGTGGTTTTCTCCTAAAGCCCAGACACTGCAAAAAACCACCGGCACCAGAGAAAAAACGCCTCCCCCCCAAAAACAAACATAAAAGAAAGAAAATACCAAGAAACAACAACAATAATGCCACTCCAACCGAAAAAGGCGCTCACGTGACTCACTCACGCGGCCCTCGCGCTTAGGACCTGCTGGAGCTCAAGAAGTTGGTGGACGCCGCCGGGGGCGGCCGGGACTTGCGGGAGACCGTCTTCACAGTGGTCGCCCAGCAGGCGGAAAAACGCGAAAACGCGCGACATCGATCGCTCGCTCGATTGATCCGATGGTTTTTTGTTTTTTTTCAAGGGGCCGGGGGCCGGGCGGAGGGTCGGGTGTGTGTGTGTGTATATTTTTTATTTGTCTGTTTTTTTTTGGGGGTCAGTTTTCCGTATCCCGGAACTGCGCTTGTTCGGAGCAGCTTTCAGGGGTTCCAGAGAGTTTCGTTGGGGATCCCTGGGCTTACTGGTTGGCCTTGCCTCCCTGGTTATAACTCACTTCGGGGACTTGTGATGTTGGTAACTGGGGTAATTACAACCATGGTTTCCAACCACTTCCTGAGCTCACAAACATACTGACGTGTGGGCGTGTCAGTTTTGGAGCGGAGTGGCAGAAAAAGGGTCACCATTTTTAGGGTATCTGCCCCGGGCGCGTGTGTACCTGACATGGTTCCCAGTCAAGGGCTCCTCCTATGTCCCCAGTTTCGCATCTTTCGGTCTATGGAGGTTTGTTTTGAACCTCCGGGTGTTTGGGGAAATCAAGGGCTAAGATTGAAGCCCAAGGTAGAGGAACGTTGGCCCTAGAAACCCACACCTATGGCAACGGGTGAACTAGGGAATCGGTTTCTTGTTGCCTTAATGTGACCAGGGCATCTCCTGGACGGGTTGTTGACTCCTCCCAAAAGGCCCCAGGTGTGGGCTCGGTGTCAACCAGGTCCGATCACTTCAAAGGGAACCCCACACAGATTGGTTGAGCCAAAATTATCTTTATGGTTTATCCCAATAAGAACCGTTCCCCGCTCGAACTTCCCCAGCCATGTACCCTACCCGTTCCCCACCCGAACTTTCCGGCCCAGCCATTTTGCCTCGGCTTCGCTTCGCTTGCCAGGGCAGGCGGAGCGCTCTGCTGCAGCACTTCGGGGAGGAGGCCTTGGCGTTGCAGGTCTTCCCGAAGCACATCCTGGCGGACATCGACATGACGGTCTGGGTGGGCACCTTCGGCGCTGGCGCCTTCGAGCGAAATTCGATCGGAACTCGGGACGGGACGGGGGGGATGTGGAAATCCGATTTCCGGAAATGTGTGTAGCGGGTTTCTGTGATGGAAGTAGAGTGGTTGGAGGGTGAGAGAGAGGTGGTTGGTTGGCTGAACAACGCACGAAACAGGGCCCTTGTGAGTTTTGAAGGGGAAGGAAAGGACACCAGAATCATTGGTCCTCGGCAGCGAGAGATGAGTGTCTTGAAACAAGATTTCGACCCCCCCCCCCAAAAAAAAAAGAGAGGTAAAGGGCGTCTTTGCCTTTCCCATGCAGAAAAGGCGGCTTTTTCCAACCCGCAGACTACTGGACGATTTTCTCAGGTTGCAATTGTTCGATGGTTTGTGTGCTCCTTGCAGGTTGGTTTAGTTGAACATAGACGGATGCCGCTTGCTTCATTGTGGTTCCAATGATTCACACGCAAAAGATCTTGGGGCAGGTTCCCCACTCTTTCCAGGGATGACACAGCCGCCTTTTTTTGCAAAGAAGCATGGCTTGAAAAGAATGGAAGAGAACTCCACCCCTACAAAAGCATCTTTTTCCTACTACTACTGCTGCTGCTGCTACTACTACCACCACCACCACGACGACTACTACTACTACTACTTCTGGGGAGCTCCCGTTTTCTGCTGACCCGCACCCGGTCCTTGTGAGGCGGGCCCAAGTTCCCCACGGGGCCAGTGCCGGGGGCGCTGCCCCTCTTCCACGCGCTGGGGGGGCGAGTGACCTTTCTGTCGGCCAGACCGCCGATCTGGGAGGGCCAGACGAGGCCCGGTGGAAGCCGATGCTTTCCCCGGTGTCATCATTTCGACGCTTTCTGGGGGGTATCAAAGGCAGAACATGGGGGTGGTTTCCCTGTCTTGAGCTTTGCTCCCCACTGCTACGCCCCCCTGAAAGTGAACGTTTTTTGAGGGGTCAAACTTGAGAGCCTCCGGCTCACTCCGCCGACATTCGCCTCTCCCTTTGCTCCTTCTTCCTCCTTTTTTTTCCCTTCCCCTCGCTCTCTCTCCTCCCCATCCTCCCTTCTCTACCCCCTCGCTATGCCTCTTTCTCTCCACCTCGTGTCTCTGCCTCCCCGCTCCTCTCTCTCCCCCCTCTATCTCTATCTCCATCTCTATCTCTGTCTCTGTCTCTATCTCTATCTCTCCCTTTCTCTCTCTCTCTCTCTCTCTCTCTGAGTTGCCTTGATTTCCGTGCACTGCCTCTTCACGACCCCTGAATTGTCTTCTTGCTACTGGCTTTCCCTTCGATTTCCCCTTCATGTCCTTTTCATGTCCCGTCCTTTCCTATGATTTCCTCGTCATGTCGCCTTTCCTTTCTTTTCAATTCCCCCTTCATTTCCCTGTCATTTTCTCGGCATGTACGCTTCATTTTCCATTGCCAGTCATTTCCCTACGTCTCCCTTCGTGTTCTTTGATTTCCTCGTCCGTTGTTTCCCTTTCAGGCCAGTCACTCCCCCTGCATGTCTCATGCCTTCCCCTTCATTTCCCTTGCAGTTCCCCTTCGTTTCCCTTTCATTTCCCCTTCCTTTCCTGTCATTTCCACTTCCTGTCCCCTGCACGTCCTTGCATTTCCCTTTATCTCCCGTTCGTGTCCCCAAAAATTCACTGTCGTTGTCAACGTTTTCGCAAAAGGGAGGCACAGAGTTTTTCCAGGTTTTCGGCAAAAGGGGGCATACAACCCGAACCTTCAAAGAGCCAGCAGCTGGAGCAGGCACACCCGGTGCAGATCACAGGCATCCACATCGGCGTACCGTAGTAAAAGTCAGCGCGAAATTGCACAAACTGCACCACAAGAAGTGGTCCAAGGAGATAGGTGCAAAAGCTTTTTCAAGTTCGAACCTTGTTCTTTGGAGCCACGAGGTAGAATCAAAACGTGTTGTTGCTTTCGCTCTTCTTTGTGTGCGTCGTTGGACATCTTGTGATGCGGTTGTGGGCGCCGTCTGGCCCTGTGGAGACGGGCTACGGATGATTGAAGACAATGATGAATATCAATAGACAACAAGAGCAATAGCTATGCACATGTGTGCAATGATGATAGCTTTCAGGCAAGAGACTTCCTGTCTTTGCAGATAGTTGACCTTCGACGGTTGCTAAAACCGCGGGGCTGTCCTCTGAGACTGGTTTCTATCCTTATTCTTCGGGCTTGATTGGAAAAAGGGCAGGTTTCCAACCGTGCTCTTGGAGTATAGACAAAGGCATCTTTCCGGGACTTTCATAGTCTCAAGGCTTTTCCTTGGAAAGGGCTGTCCATGTGGAGGCTTTTCCTTTGAGAGCGCTGTCCATTTGAAGGCTTGGGCTGTGTGAGTAAGGTTAGTTAATCGTAAGGTTAGAGATGCAGTTTTAAGAAAGAACCGTAGGGAGTAAGGGTTTCTAACCCGCCTCCCACCTACTAATTGGGGAGTAAGGTTGCCCAACCCCTAACCCGCAACAACCCCACCAACCACCCCACCCATTCTCCAACAACCCTTAGCTCGGTAATGTGTTTCAGCTGGCCACGACTTCAGCTTGCGAGGCGCTTGCTGGTGGACGACATCGGCATCGCGGAGGCGGTGGTGCTGCCAGGCTCGCTGAAGGCCATAGCCCAGGTGCTGAGCCTCGATCAAGGGGAGCGCGTGGTTGTGGTTTTGGGGAGAACCTGGGAAGGAAAATGGGGCGCAGCAAACATGGGTACATGTGGATGTAGGCATGTAAGTATGCTTTCGATTTCGGAAAAGGAACAAAAACGAAGCGATAGGTGCAGTGCGCGGTCTGGAGTTGAAAGTCCGACGCGGTAATCAGTATTTGTCTTCGATTCGGGGACTTTGACCCCTGCTTTGAAGAGAGAAGGCGCTCCTGACAGCATGTCGTTTCAGGTGCATTGTTTGGTGGGCTAGAAGTGAGTTCAAAAGGCTGGTCTCGTTCTGTGCATATCCTGTTCGGAGACAGATCCATATCAATATACGCATAACTTGCATGGTATCCGTTCCCCGTTTCATGGCCTTGAAAGAAAAACATCACCCATTTAACGCTTCTGTGCCGGGAACTCTTTGGCCTGAAGATCCTTGCAAGGGTGTCCTTGGGGGTGTTGTGTGGAACCTCAGAAAGGGATACAGGATAAACTTTCATGGCGAGCTCACCGATTCGGGGGTAGAACGAGCTCACCATGGCAAACCTGAAAAATATCCATTTGGAAATACTGTAAAGAAATGCAAATAAATAACGTCCAAACCATCAAACATCCATTCCGGAACCTTTGCCCTCTGGGCCTTCTGGAATGTGTCCCCTTGAAGCCAAGCAACAAATGGCGCCCTCAAAACACACACGCGCCACCTTATCAAAAAATAGCCTAGGTCCCCCAGTAGTGCCCGTTTACCCTTTTGTGGGGGAGGGTTCCCCTACTAAAATAGGCTACAGAAAAAAGGGTGCCCTTATTTTAACCTCTCTACTGGAGGAGCTAGTAGCCCTCGATGAGCCCCAGGTACGCACCGGAGCAGGCGAAGCAGGCCATGGCGGAGAGAAAAACAGAGGTCTTCGGGCAGTTCGCAGCGCTTCACCCGGATGCGCCGCCCGGATCCGTTGGGTGACTGGAGGCGGAGGGTTTTTTCCCCTCGAAAACACGGCCCCATTTTTTTCCTCCAGACCTGACATTTGAGACACCCCACAAATGTTTGGATGTGGATTTGCTTTTGGTTGAAACTAAGGAGGGCGAAGCATATGTTTGGTTGGATGTGGTTTTCCTTTGGGGTTTTGCGTCACGCGTTCGTTTTGGAGGTGTGATTGTTCTAGGCCTTTAAGCTGAACAGTCAGTGTTTGTTGCTTGTGTTTGAGAAGGATTGGGAAGGAGAGGCTAGTTGAGGTGTTTATTGTTGTGGATGGAGGTGATATTTTGTGTAGATGGGTTGTTTTCTTTCTCAGATTGGTTCTGTGTATTTGTTTGGTTTGCTTGAGACTTGGTTTCAGCTTTCGGGTCGCGGACGACCTGATTTTGCCTACGTGAATGTTTTGTTTGAGGGGCACACGAGGATTGGCTTCGGCAACGGCCATCTCGCCATAAAATGAGATTTGGTGCATCATTTGCCGATTCGAGGAGCATGTTTCAGCGGCCCCAGAAATGGACGCCCGGAAAAGTCATGGTGCGTAGTCCGAGGTGTTTGGGGTGGGTGGGTTTTTGAGGGGTGGTTCGTAGTGTCCCTGATTTGTTGTTGGCAACCGTGGTGTGGTACAAAAGCTTCGTTGGATAAGTCAGGCTCAGCCTTTCTCTAAAAACAGACGTGCACCTGATTCCACTCGCTTTGTTTGTTATCGCCCGCTCAAGCCCTGTTTGGATTGGGCAACTTGATGTCGACCTGAATTTGTTCACCCTGAAATGCTTCTAGGAGGACTGTCACGTCTTCTAAAATCAATGGGGAGCAGTTGGGGATCACCACTGAAATTGGAGAAAGCGTGGGGGGTGGCCGCGCCTCTTTCCAAGGCTCCCAATCGACACTCTTGGCCTTGTTTTTGGCTTGAACACCCCAGCCCGCTGGCCAGGGACACAAGAAGGGCAGCCCAAGAGTGGTTTGTCTAAAGAGCTCCGGTGGACCAGAACCAACAACCAGGACTGTCCATGATCCTTGGGCTCCAGGCCCAATATGTTCGGAACAAAGGCCCAAGAGAATCTTCAGCTTGCACATAGGTTACATTTCAATGCAAAACCATGAAGCTGAGGTAAAGGTGAAAACAGCGTTTTTTTTTTCCAACAGGTGCTGCCTTGAGCAGTTCAACCAGGTTTCCCGCATGTTTGGCTGGTTATAGATTCGTCAATCCTTGCACACGACTGATCATCCCACAGAAATGGGTCTTTGCCCCTAGACCGCACCCCAAACCACTACCCAGGGCTCCACGGTAGGGTCCTTGCGGTTCCCAGTTGTGCGCTTAGGCTTTTAGACTCCACAAAAAGTCAAACTTTTAGCAGGGGATCTGAGGACAGCCCAGGGGGATATATCCCGACCCCCCCGGACACCAGCTCAAAGGACATTGACGCTGACAGGGGATTTGCTTGCCCAAAGTGGCTGTACAGCCGGATATTTCAAAAGCCGGACGTTCATTGACGGTCATGAATACCACCTGGTGCTTGTCGCGGATTTCCACCCCACTTCGGCCACATTGCCAAGAATAGCCATCTCTATCGGTTGGACCGTGGGAATTGAGGTCCTCCTTCGGCCAGCGGGTACGCTGGGAGTTTCGGGGATGCCCCTGCCCACTTCCCCGGGCCGAATCTTCAATTGGGTTGGATCTTTAGACTTTAGCCTTTTTGGGGAAAGGGGTTTTCCATGAAACCCGCAAAAAGTTGTAGAACCTTGGCGGAGCAAGAACGAAGCATCAGGTCCTTCATCTTCATCGGCGACTCCGGGGAGGGCGACGTGGACTTCGCCGAGGACTTCATGCGCGGCCACGAGGGTTCGCCTTCGCCCGCGCGCGGCCCGGCGCGCGCGGCGCTGATCCACGACGTGGTGAGGAGATGCGCCCAGGGGCCAGAGGTGTCCTCCTGAGGTTCGTCAGGGGTCCCTAGAGGTCCCTTTTTGGTGGTTTAAAACACTAGGTCCCCCAGTGCAGGATCCAGAGGGCACTTTCTGTGTGGCATTGCGCGTGGGGAAGCAAAGTGCGCACGCCCAGTTAAAATGGGTGTCTTTGTTTTGGGAGACGGCCAAAGTGGTGGTTTTCCTTCTGGATTTGCCTTTAAAGCCACAAACAAACACAGGGGTGCCAACTCCAAAACAGACAGGGCCATTTGGGGCTTGGCTCCCTCGCTTTCTTGGTCCGTGAAAAATCCGCAGGACAGATGGAGTCGTGCCCAAGAGCAACGCGGCGCGGCGCGCAGAGCTGCGGATGCGAGGGATCCACGTCTTCGACACCTATGCCGGCGGGGCTCGGGGTTCGGCGCGGCGATTTTTTTGTCTCCACGCCTCTCGTTTGACACGAAAGGAGGGCGTACATGTCCATAGCACAGGGCTCGTTGCAGGTCTCTCTCATTTTTGGCAGATTGGTTCATGCAGTATCGGTTTTGAAATTGCCGCTATCAGTTTTATTGTGGTAGTATTGTCGGGAATGAACATATATGAACCCATGACCATGTGGGGCCCTCCGGTTTTCCTACTGCCAGAATTGCAAGCAATGATCAATCCTTGAGTACTGCATTGACGAGGGGTGCGTATCCGGAGTTTGTACTTATACATTTGGCTTTTGACAATTTGCTTGCACAAGGTGTTTCTCTTGTTTGCTTCACACACACACACACTTCCACTGAACCCGCCTGAGTATGAGCACAATTTCATTGGTCCCAGAGATTCTTTACTGTGCCCCAGACCATTTCCCCGGAGAACATTGCTACGTGTTTCGCTTTTTGGGTACTGGAACCTGATTTATCTGCCAACCCTTCAAGGGGGCGGTTGTTCCTACAATGCGATTTGCTTGGGATACCCCATTTCAAACGCAACGCGCCCAAGCTTGCCATTCCTTCTATACAGCAATGGCTTTTCTAGTTTGGATGGGGTACAACTTGCAAGCAGGCGTTTCGGGTCAACCTTCAAGCAGTCATTTCTCTCTTGTTTTTTGTTTCCCATCCTTATTCGATTCCCTTCTGTCTCACTTCGGTGGAACCCAAATCTGCCCAACCACCTTGTCAGTCGCGCCCTGTGACCCCGCCTTTGGTTTCACCCATTTGCAATTTCAGTCCCTCCACTGATTGCAAAGGAGGGGAAGGCCAAGTCCAACACGTCCCAAGGTCTTCTTGCTGGTGCTCAGTAGGGAATGACGGAGTCCGGGTGTTGGGAATGAGCCCAGGGGTCCCCTTAAGGAAACCACTGGATGGTTTTTCATGGGGTCATTCCAATTCTCATTCCCTGATGAGAACCAGCAAGTCCTTTGACCTTTCCCGATTGCTGGTGCGCAGCGGGGAATGAGAGCATCCCTTGTGGTTTCCTTTAAGGGGACCGAATTCTGGAGAATGACTCACCTTCCCGAGCCCCAGCCACGTGGACTTCCTTCGGCGCGTCCTTCGGCGGTAGGCGCTGCCCTGGAGCTCTTCCGCCGAAATCTGCTGAGTGGGGAGGGCCTGCGCCAGGCCACCCACGGCGCCTAAGAAGCAGAGTCGGGGGTGCGAAGGGGTGCCCGGGACCTGTGGGCTGTGGGGGGCTGTGGGCTGCTTCCAAGCTTCTTTTCTTTTTGCCAACAGCTAGAAGCTGCGGGGTCACCTGGTTATGGTTTCCAACTGGTAACTGACATTCACCTAGCTTTTGGCGAGTTAGAAAGCATATGCGAGTGGGTGCTCAAATGTCACCCCTTTGCTCAATGGTGAATACTGACCATTGCCATATAGGAATTGACCACTGTGACCAGATAGGCTTTGGGGTGGTTTGGGGCAGCTTTTAGGGAGCGTTCCGGCGGGTTCCAGCAGGTTCCGGGGCTGTTGGGGATACCACCTGGGCTTAGAAGAATGACTTGAGGTCTCCTTTTTTGGGCTTTCTATGTTTGGCTTTTGTTTCAGAAAGGGTGGAGGAGTGGGCCTTGGGATGCGGATTCTGCTCAACCCTGTTGCGGTCTTACAGCAGGTGAGCGTTTCCTTTTGTCCCTTTTTCTTCCATTTCGCAGCTCCTTGGTCCAGTTTCATGCGACATCCTTGCCAAGGGAAACCACCCCCAAAAAATGCTGGTTGCGGAACCCGAACCATCCAGCTGGTTGCCTAGCGGATCCCCTGCTCATTCCTACCCGTGATTCCTCAAGAATGGCTCCAAAACAAGAAGCCAAAGAGTGAGATATAGAGCCATTCTGCCAGAGAAATGATTGAAACACCCTCAATCCTCCATTTTTTGATTACTCCGAAGGTAGGCGCGCATACCCAGAAGTTCGCCTGAGGAAATCAACAACCCGAACCCGATCGTCTACCCTGGGTATGAATTCTGAACTGGGGACCCTCTGGTGGACCGCATTTGAATATGCGCAGATAATGGGGATGACTCTACCTCAACGGAGGAATGCGCGCCATCATCTACTTTCCCATCATCTACTTTCCCAACTATCCCAGAAATGGAACAACCAACTGAAATCTTAAAATTCCAGCTTCAATTCGCCGTTCCTCCTAAGAATGACGAAACCTAAACCAACCCTAAAAAATTGTGGATAAAAGGCTTCTCTTGATTCTACCCAAACCTTGTTGCAACGCAGACGAACTAGACGCCACTAGTTGCCATCGAAGGACATTGTTGCTTGCCGAATTTATTTTGGGAATGTATCAAAAACCCTGCACCCGGCAACCCTCTCTCAAGTCTGAGATGAACAGGTTTCTCTTGATTTGTACCGACTATATAGACCTAACCCAACCCTAATGATCCAAGGGGGATTTGGGTACAGGGGATGTGAACCGGTAGACCAAGCTAAGTAGACCACCCTAAAGGGGATGTGAACCGGTAGACCAAGCTAAGTAGACCAACCTGACGGGGATATGGGTAGACCACCCTAAAGGGGACATGGGTGAGTAAACCAACCAAAAGGGGATGTGGATGCTGGGTACTTAGACCTACAGAGGATATGGGTAGACCACCCGAAGTAGACCTACAGATGTGGGAAGACCACACGAAGTAGACCTACAGGGGATGTGGGTAGACCACACAAAAGGGGATGGCCGGTGCCCCGGTGCCCAGCATCTCTCGCATGTTTCGACGTCGAAGGGACCCCCGAGATCTCCCGACGGATCCCCCGCGCGAGCCACGCGAGCCCAGGCTGCCTGGAGGAGTTCGCGGAGATCCGGCCCGAGGAGTTTGCCTCCAACGAGGTGAGTCGGTCGGGGGAGAGCTGGCGATGGGAGGGGTTGGTGGGTTTGGTAGGCGAGGTGAGTGGGGAATCTCTCGAGGGCGAGTGGGTTATTTCAGATCTTATGATATATTTTTTTTCTCCGGTTTGGTTCAGATGTTTGGGCTTATATGGTGGTGTTTGAATCATTTTGTTTGAATTGCAGGATTTGCTGATGTTGGTTGAGAAAGGAGGGCGGCTTGGTGTTGAATTCATCTCCGCCCTCTATCGATAAGAATACGGACGAGAATCGAAACAGCATATTTCGGGCTGAGGTGAGGTGTTCTGCGGGTCTGACTATCTTCCTGCAAGTCGCACACTGTGGGGATGGCAACGCTACGGGGGAGTGCAGTGAAACGAAGCAGCCCACAGACACATTCACCCCTGTCGCTGCTCGAGGCTGTGTCTGTGAGTAGTTATTAACCGCGAGGAAAGCGTAAGGACCATGTTCTGACCTCGGACTCCCATATCCGGAGTCGCATTTCTTTCCCCGGTGCTACATTGGGAGTAGCTGGCCCACCCAGATTTCCCCTAGCCCATTTAGGCATCACCTTGTCCGGGGGAGATGGCAGATGTGCGGTGCACCTATGTCGCTCTCAGCAAACATTTCATTTCTGTGTATCTCATCATATCTCAGTCAAGTATACAACCTCAGTTAAGGAGCCGTTCTCGAGCTGCAATGGATAATCTTTCTTGGGAGTAATGGCTATTCATGTCATATAAGGGGCTGTTTGGAGGTTTTGGGTGGTTTTCTGGTTTTGTCAAGGGCCATGTGTGTAAGTAGTTGGCTGCCAGGGATTCAACCGAACAGAACTCGGCCACAAAAGCTTACGGGTTCCCATTTTGAGAGAGACCTATAGGAGGGAATATCACGGAACCCTTTGACTGGTCATGGATCCAATCGTAGATCTGAGCTCTCCAAAATCAATCCTGAGACAGTTCTGGTGTCACTTTGAGACAGATGCATGTGGGTGTGTGGTTTGTTGAACACCTATTTCGGGGTTGGTTTGATTGGGAGCGAAAGGGAATCCACCCATTTTGGAGGTTCCCCTGTTTTTACACAACGCCATGCAAAGGGTTTCAAAGTACCCAACTACGCCTGGCTAATCCTGGCTGTTGCGACGCCCCACAACTCCATTCTAATCACCTTGCTGGTGCT